ACATATATATATATATATATTTATATATATGCAGTTACCAAGCTGATAGCCTTGTTTCCAGGAATAAATTATTGAAAAAATAAAAGCAACTGGTGATCAGTTTTCTGCTACAAATATTCAAAGAAATAGTTGCAATAGTAACCATACAATTTCTCAGAAGCTTTAAGTTCAGAAAGTTCAGTTGAAAATGAAATTCAGAAGTGATCTGCGTGAGCAGAACAAAGCAAATTTATAACCATAGGTCCCAGAATTGGCATATACTACTTATTTTTATTTCACAATGCAGTGCTTTGCTCTTCAGACACAGACCTTCTTTCATGCACTGTATTCATGTAGGGCCAGGATCTTTGAAAAGAAGGCATTAAAATTTATTACTTACTCGAGACTTTTTATTAGGAGTGTAAGCTTTAGAGTTGCAGAATATTAAACGAATATCTTTGTAGAATTCCAAGGGACTAGTGTAGTTTCCTGCTTCCAAGGTTTCTTTCACAGTGCTGAAGTCCATAGGGGTGTCTACAATATCTCGATAATCCTGTAAGAATATACAAAAAATAATGAAGGTTGTCAAATCCTACAGCAATAAGAACATCGAAGTGTTCATCCACAACAGTGGCTTTCAAGTAATTATTTCTACTTGAGAGTTACTGCAGATAATTCTCCGAAAACATCAGTGCACAGAACACAGTGTTTTCCAGCTCATAAAGGAGAGGTTAGAAACATGCCCAGCATGCATGTTTTGCCAAAGGATGAACAATAGGCTTTTTAAATTTTGAATACGGAAGTTGTACTTACAGGATAGGAGAAGAGATCAACTGGTTGTCTAAAAGGCTCAGAGTCCTCTCTTTCATAAATCAGGTTTAACAACTGTTTGCATTGCTCTTTCCAAGCATCAGGACTTGCTTTCATGGGCTGTCTTTTCATTCGTCGTCTCACCTGCAGGGAAACAGATGTGTTTCATAATTTTTCAGAATATTCAATTTTTTCACTTTAAGTTCCTATTAATGTACCAGCATTATGATTCAAAGCAGATTTCCACAATTAAAACCAGAATTGCAGTAAGACTAAAGCATAGCTGATGGCACAACAATACGCAGTATGCAAACTGCAGAAATGCGCCTTTTCTGGTAATATATAAACACTCAAAATCCCTGAGAGGTATGCAGTACTTCAGATCCAGCCTTGATATGTTTATCAGTTTTCATCCAAATTTGACTGAAAATTGAATCTGTTCTAGGTATCTTTCAAATCAAATTAAAAAAAAAGATTCTTCAGCAATTAGGTAAATTTCCCTGCACAATAACTTCCTCAGTCTGCCAACACTTACATACACATGCAACTGAATTCACACAGTTGGTCCTACACACTATGGGCTATGACAAATTTAAACTGTTCCAGACCTAAATGAGTGTTTCAGTACCTGGTCTATCTCCCTTCACAAGCTAAACCAAGCAGAAACAGTTACTCACTCGTCTTTTTCCAGAGGAAGTTCCCGGAGCATCTGAATCTACATCTACTTCTGCCACCTAAAGGCAAAGGTAACGATTACATACCTGCATGCTTGAATGCTCCCTCAGCAATGGAAAAAGGGTTAAAAACCAGCCAGCCAACAACAACAAACACAATTTTAAACTACTCAAATGCAATGAATGGTTCAAGCAAAACAGAAACTAGTTTCAAACTTGAACTTACATAACTTTAAAAAAAAAAATAAATTAGGTGGATAAGCTGTTTCATCTCTTTTCCAAGTTTGTTTCCACAAAAATTATATATAAACATGTCAGAAACATGAATGGCTTATTTTCAGTTCTTAAGACTCTAAGTCCCAGTCTTGCTTGCAGAGCTGTATTCCCCTGCCTAAATGTTCATGCTCTGTGCAGCTCTCCTGAGTTTATTCAGGTTTTATGTAGTGCCTTACATCAAGTGCACGTAATAGTCTTTTCAGAACCTGGATTTAGAAATTACAACAAAAACTTCTTTGTACATGGCTTTCTACCAGTAATTGAAAATAAAGAATTTTGAGGGAACAGGAAAGTTCCTACAAAGAATCTGAAAGTAATTTCTTTCCTATTTTAAAACATATTATAAATCAAAACATATCATAAACCAGCTCTTTGAAAAGGCTGGAGAGAAAGGAAGGCGATATACTAGCAATTCTGGATGCTTCTGATCACTGCTTGACATGGAACAGACAAGATTCACAACTGACACAACAAGGTTGAGTTGGGAGAGTCTGCTATTTAAGTCATGAAAATCCCTCATTTTCTTCAAAAGACTCTTCTAACAGTCTGTGAAAATAGATGCCATTATTGTATCTTCAGTTTTATAACAAGTAGTTAAATTATTACATTTTAGTATAGATTTTAAGTTTCAATACAAATCCAAGACAATAGCACCAGCCATAAGCATACAGGTGTTCAAACAGCAGCAGGTTTAACTTAAATATTTCAAAATTGCAACAATGGAGTATGTCTTGGGGAAGGGAGGAGGGAAGAAACCTCCAAACTAAATCTTATACTAGCTCATGTATCAGAAAGCAACACTGAAAAAGTAAAACAAAACCAAGTGACTTAGGTTACAACAGGTCATCTGTTTGCAAGAGAAACTACAGCACATTTCAAAATGTTTACAAACCGCATTTAAAGGGAGAAGGTGTAAGGAGAGAAAAAAAGTTAAAGGAAGTGATATCTAACCCAGTTTCTACCTGTCATTCACTTCATGGTACAGCTGATGGGAAATGACACAGAATTACATAAGAAAACCAGCTCTGCTGCCTCGCTGACAATACGAGAGCTGTTGTCCTTCTGGTTTGGCAGACTGAACAACAGCTCCAGTTCATATTTCCCTACTTGCTAATACTTCCTCACCAACAAAACATCATGTACTGAGAGAAGATTAGAGACAGGCAGTTCAAAGAATTATTTCTACTTACTTAAGGGAGCTTATTGCCTCAGGTGAGCAACACAAATGGCCTAAGTGGGCTCACCTCCAAAACTCAGTGCAACTACCCATAAAATAAAAACTCAACAAAAATCTTTGCTCAAATTTCTTCAAGTGCTGAATTTAAAAAGGCAAGAAATTCTGACCATCAGACTTACTGGTCTTACCTCCTCTTCTTCATCAGTACTGCTTAGGTCTTCTGCTTTCACCTTGTTATAGATTTCTAATATATCAGTACAACTCTGATCCCTGCAGGACAATAACAAAAGCCAAAATACATAATCAAGTATCTCAGAAACTCAAGATGTTAGGTCTATAAGGTAAAAAACATGCCTACCCAATGAAGCGAAGTAAGACATCTGTTACAATTTTGGCTGCTTTGACTATAGGACTGTCTGGCTCGTTGAAAGTCCTGGCATTATGTTCGATGTATCGTACCTCCCACATCAGTGCAGAGATTCTCCTAAGAACAAAAAAAAAAAAAAAAAAAAAAGGATGAAAAGGATGGAGAGGAAGGAAGGTGTACATTATTTTCCTTCTGAGTTCAGTAGGATTCCTTAGTAAAAAAAGCAATGAGGTAATTCAGATCCAGGAGAAACAGGCTGCTAGAGACCAAGGTAAATGCTTCCTGTTCACATACTCCTGACTGCCCCAATGTGTCAGGTTGCAACAGCTTTGTGGGGAAAAAAAAAAAAGTTCCTCTTCAGATCAGCAATGAACGGAATGAAAAGAGGAAACAAACCTACTGAAGAAGACTCATGACTGCTCCCACTTAGAGAAAGCCTTAGAAATAAAGTGGTCCTCAGAGGGGAAAAAAGAGCAGGACATTATTTATCCCCAAGTTAACTGGAAAAACTGAGATTTCTAGATTACAGCACTATTTAGCCCACTTCTGGCAACTGCAATACAAGCAAAGCATCTGGTTCAAAGGCAGTAGAGATACAGATGAAGCAAATATGCTCTGCCTACAACCCATCCAGAGTAAGGCTCAGAATATGAACATGAAAGACAGTCCAGATTCAGATATACCAGCTTTTGCCTTAACAATGTGGCCAAGATATATTATTATTCAAGAAGACTCACTTTGCCAAAGGCCATATAGAACCTGATCTTATGCTGTTGACTCATCAAAGATGATACTGCTGAGGTGGCATTAGTATTCATTTAAACATATGGTCCTCAACAGGGCGATAGTAAATGTAGATTACAAATACAAAAAAACAGCTGACCTATAAAACCTGTTTTCAAGTCTCCTCCTGATTGTGGTGAGGTCAGTTGGATAAGCAACAACAGTGCAATACATGGGATAGGCACTAAGGTCCACCGGGACAGCAAAGGGATTAGAAATGTCTGAAAGACAAAAGATCAAAATAATTTAGATGCTTCAGAAGATACCAGAAGGGAAGGTATAAGATAACTAGACTCCTTATAATGGTTTCTGCGTTTTCTTTCTAAGAATTCAGCAAAAGCAATACAGATCGACAACTGGATATGTCATTACCCAAAGGGCAAGATTCTTCCTCTTGTACCATCTGTTAACTACTCTTGAAAAAGCATTTTCTGTTTAAGTAACCCATCTGAGATTCGCATGCCAGCATCCAACCTTATTGCTAAAAAGCAACATGGCATGTGCCCTTAACAACAGGAATACTACAACAAGCAACGTGAACTAAGAATACAGACATGTCCTGTGTATAAATACAGGATAGAATTTAAATCACAGAGTGCTATTAAACAGCTACAAGCTAGTTACAAGGTATTTGTTGGTGAGGATGTTTGCTGAGGATTTATTGGTTGGTTTTTGAGGGGTTTAATTCAATGTTTTGCTCATTCATATTTAGATATGACCCACCCAGAATCCCCATTAACTTGACTGGAAGCAGGTCAAGCCTCCCAAAAAAGGCAGTATAACTGAAAAGGACACCATATGAAATTTAAAAGGCTCTTTTCAATTATTTCCATTTCAAATACTCCACAGTAACTCCCAACACTCCATCCTACCTACTCTTCAGTCATGTGCCACCCCACTGATATTCTCAATCCTTCCACCTTTCCTCTCCAAACATACCAAGGGAAAGAAGTTGCTCAATCCCCCGGATTACTCGTTCACATTCTTCGTCTCTGGAATGGGCCCCCCATTCTCCTTCCTGGGGTTTGTAGAGAAGAGCTGTCAGCTCATCTGGAGTCACAGGAACTCCAGCACCAACCTCCTCCGGATAAGCAGCTAAATACGAAGAATTCAACAACAGTAAGTACTAGCAGTGGCAAAAAACTATCTACTTTCTATACAGACATGAATTCAACACACACTTACTTCCTTCTGGAATTGGTTCCATGTCCCATGGACTCATCCTCTCTCTTTCATTATTGTCCCAGCTATTAAAAAAAAAATATTCAAATACATAAGAGCTGAATATAATGATACACCTTTTCTCTACCAGACTTACAACAAAAAGGTCATGACTATTAGAAACAAGACATATCACTAGCTACATTCCAGCTTCTTATTTTTCTCTTGTATCTCCTATATATCCACTGCACTTCTGTTTACACCAAAAGTATTCCTTTATGAATAAGTTCATAATTAAATAAATAAAACCAAAGTGGCTGATTATGTATTTAAATGGAACAAAAGATCCTAGTTCTTGAGGTACACGTTTAAGTTGCACGTAAACATCTAGGAGACCCGGAGCATGTAAACATGTGTGATACATTACAGCTATGTAAATACTTACTGAACGCAGTAGCACTGGAAGGAACTATCGGGATATTCTGCCTGAAAAGGCTGCTGACTCTCCACAGTTCCAAACCACCAAGCGTCATCTATTATACTGCGAAATCTATCCCCTATAAGGAAAAAGATTGCATTCAGCAAAAGAACAATGTAAATAATCATTAAATACTTCTTTTTAGAGAATCAACTTCATCTTTCACAAACGGACTGCTTCAATTCTTACATTTTCCACTACAGGAATCAAGCCCTTCCCCTAAAGGGAGGACTTTCACATCTCTAGTAATTAGTCACAGCTACCTCCATGCCTCAAATCACAATATAACAGTAGATTCTTCTACTATCACAGGCCTCCTACTAGTTTCTCTCATTTCTTATTTTTTTCTGCTACAGGAATTGCAGCAAACATCAAATAAAGTTTCCAATGATTGCTATAATATCATGTGTGGTGTAGTCCTTTACATCATGTAATAGAGATGCTGTATCCTATTAAACAGCTGCAGAAATGTTGCAAAACATATGGAAGTGGGGAAAAAAGTAGTCACCTATTTGCCAGTTCCTTTCTTTGGCTTCATTATAAAACTGATGCAGCACAAGGAAGTCAATAACGTCTGGCATATCATGGTACCTTCATGAAACAGACAAAAAAATTTGCTTCTATTACCCATAAACATAGTTCTACATGTACAATATAGACATTCTCCAAACACAACATTTCAAGCATTTTGTTTTCAAGTTTGGTGTAATAACTAATTAATGCCGTTATCATGCCTTGCAAGAGAAAAAAGGAAGGTGGGCGGGGAAGCTTCTAAATGGCAAGAAAATCTCTTAAAGAATGTCATCAGCATTTCAGCTACTTACTTTATGGAAAATGATTCTCCTGTCATTTTGCCCGTGATTGGATCTAGGAATGCAAGCTTCAAGCAGCAGAGCGTAGGAGGCCCAACTTCATATTTAATTCCTACAGTCTTCACAAATTCTTGTTCCTAATTATCAATAAGCATGCAACAGTACTATTTTAACTTGCTAATAACAAAAACATCCATGTTAAAGTACCAAACATATTAATAAAAACCAAGTATGTTTCCACTCTACACCCCAGGTAATTTCACACATAAAAGTTCTCTTTTCCAAATACTAAAAATCAATCACAGTCACCTTAAAAAGGAAAAAGATATAAGATACTCACTCCCTCGGTAGATTTGTGAATAGGATACCCACAAATTATTTAACTTTTGTAATAAGACTCTAAGGAACATACTCACTCTGGTTTTAACCACGTTGATGGCACCAAAGGTTATACCTGACCAAATCACCCTTGCACAGCAATATACAGGGGAAATACAAGGAAATTCTTCCTCTTAAAAGCGGAAATTCAACAATAGCCTTTATGTTCATGTCCTGTCAAACATCAGCTGGTGGTAAGATCTCTATCCTAAGTGAAATGCCATTTCCTTTTCCTTATAAACTGACGATGCCTTTGAAGATTACAGTGGGAATTACTGAATACGTAGGACTGGTAACTAGATATTTTTCCAGTCAAGTAATTATTTTCATTAATAGGATGACTGGCATACACATATATGAATATTAGCACATATATGTGCTCTTCTCTTGATACGAAATCTGAGTAAAGCAGAAAAAAATATAGCAACACTATGGATTAAGTAGTAAGGGAGTCGGTGGTTCAAAGTAAAACGATAAGAAAAATCAACATAATTATGTAAACCTAGTATCTACCCAAGCAATCCATAATACTTTTATTTTGTAAAAACATGTCGTAAGATATTGTCATGCCCTTCCAAGAATTTAAGAACATACACAATTCTATGCTTAGCTAGATCCACTGCTTAACAGAGCTTGTGCATACATTTAGGTCTTTACATCATGATGTCTTACTTCTTACCATAGCATCAAAACCAATAAATAGAACCTAGACGTTCAGGCCACTGTAGAGTGTTGACAGAACTATAAACAGCTTTGGAGTGGCGGGTTCAGAATGAACTAGTGTTGAGAAAAAAATCCGAGAGCCATAAAATAATTTGGGTTGAAAGTGACCCCTGAGAATTATCAACTCCAAAATCTAACATCTAAGTTAGATCAAGACACTTAGAGATTGCCCTGTTGAGTTTTGAGAAGTCTTCAAGGATGGAGATTCCATGCTCTTTCTGAGCAACATGTTCCAGTGCTTATTTCTCTCACTCCGACTTTTTTTTATTATTTAATATTCTACAATTTTTTTATCTATCAGGCAAGAATACCACACTAGATAAAGTTTCACATTCTTTAATGTCCTTCTGGCTTCCTTTTATCAGGAACTGAATGGATATAAAGGCTTTGTGTTAATGAAAACACTAATTTTAAGATTTACAATTTTAATTTTGATATTAACATGGTAAAGTAATGCTTTCTTCATATTTTCATACTGGTTTTTAATGTCAATTTAATATTACAGAGACATTCAGGACTTTGAAGTATTTGTTTAACTTACCCTGAGTTCCATTTTGTTCCATGGTTGTTTTTGCATGTTAATACTGTAAATTTTTGCTTTCCTTACTGCCCGCACATAAGCTTCATGGCCTTGCCTAAAGTATATGATCTTAAAAGAAAATTAAACCAAAATAAATTATTTTACTGATAGTTCTCTTCCTGTTTATTCTAAAATTTCTATGAACGCATCAGCCATCATCCCCCTTTCAGAACATACTGCTCACTTCTTTATTTCGTTATAAAGCACTCTTCTCCTTATTAAATATTTACAATCAGCCCCCAGAGTGGCACCTGTTATGTGCTTTCAAACTTGGGAACAATAAGAAGTGTGCAGGTTTGTCTGAAGATGTACCATCAATTCTTCCTGCTACTCCTAAGTTACACGTGCACGAAGAGAGACAGGACAGCTATCTATAAACAACTCACTGCCAAAGCATAAAAAAAAGTTATCAAAACTCAGCCTACCTTGAGCACGAGTCACTGAAAATATTGCTAGATATAACAGTCCTGAGCAAAACAAGCCCAGCAGCCTCGGAGGGAATTTCAGAATTGTTACACTCATTACCTCATCTCCCATTTGTGGGACAAAAGGCGAGCGGCGAGGTATAGTATCCAAGATCCACTGCGGGGCAAGCCATTCTTCACTGGGTTCACCTTCCATTGAAAGCAGTCCACTTGGTTTCTTAAATATATTACATTCAATTTAGAATGCAAGCAGTAATTACTATGGTAGAATGTATGAAAATCTGATCATACAGCATTTACTGAAGATAACTAGATAGACAAATGCTGGATGTCAACCTTCCAAAAACCTCAACTAAATAGCAGGGAGTAAGACATGTTCGTAATAAATACAACAGAAGGATTAAAACACTCATAAAGAGACTGTATTTCTTTAGAAATATTCTAAACATCTTCTTTAAAAAATACTAGGAAAAAGAAATCTGACAATGTAGATACAATACAGATGTGTTATAATTTTATAACAAAACCACCTTGGAGTAAACCTAACTGCAGTGAAGAGCATAAATCTGGGAGAAAACATGCCACCTGCAATGGAGAACTACCTGCCTGAAACATGGAAGTACATCTATGTCACACAGCAGCAAAACAAACAGAAAAATTACTCTGGTACCATTGGTACTGCAATTACTGTGCTATCTATAGGTTCTTTCTTACCATGTACTTGTTTGTGAAAAATTTTACTTTGAAAACAACCACTCAAAAGAATTTATATTCATAAAGTAAAAAATACACTAAAAAAAAATGCTGACCTTTTTTCTAGGCTGCTTAAGTTTCCTTCGTTTTGGCTCCAGTCCTTTTGTTCCCTTCATATTTTCATCTTCAGAACTACTACAGATTTTCCGAGCTGCCTGCCTGGTTTGTCTCTTTGGAGGCTGGAGATTAATTCCAGCATCTGCTGTCCAGTCAGAATATTCGCTTGATGAATCACTGTAGATATAAAAAGTTGTAAGAAAGAAAACAGCACTTCAGTTTTCACACAATGGAGTGAAAGGTCCAAATATTCAACCCGCTCTTCTGGTTACGTGGAACAGATGTCAGGATTAGCACAAAATTTCATTCTCATGTGAATGTAAAGAAAACTTAAGTGCCCTAAGTGTATTTCAGCAAATTATTTTATCACTTGCAAATTCATCGTAAAACTACAGTTTTCTGACACTTATTTTCTAACTAATTATCTCACTGATTCATAGCCTGATTTCATAAGAACTGACTGCATGAAATATTTAGAAAACTAGAGAACTCTTCTAAAAATACAGTTCTGACTTCTTTAATATCCAGATAACACACATACAGTATTTATATTAGCTCATGGGCTTTCCAGCCATAAAAGGATAACATTAAGAATAAAAAAAAAGACTCTGGAAATTGTACACAAATACATAATAACAATGGAAAAATTAGGAAATACTGAAATACGAGCAGAAGATATATATGCACTTCTATCAATATTTCTATTGCATATGACTAACCGGCACAGACTTTTTTTCCAAGCAGTTCTTAAAGACAACATTTTCTTACAAATGGTCTTTCAAAATTGTTCTTGACTTTGAAAAAAAAAAAAAAAACAACACAAAAAACACAATATAAAATGCTTCATGAAGAATTAGAAAAAAAGTCACTCTTAAAAACTAAGACTTTTTCACACTGATTTTCTGTTAAATACTGTTATAAAAACTTCTACAATTTCTTAGTCACTCAAATACATGAAAGTATTTGCCTGTTCACAGACTCCACAAATTCTGTCAGTTACCATTTTTAAACTACTAATTGTACTAAACACTTTGCTTCAGTCTGTCATAAGATATAACAAATCTGTACTGATCACAGTATCACAGTATCAACTGTCTTTCTTAAATTATATAATCAACTAATGTTAACTGTTAAGAGACCAGTAAAGCTACCTGGAACTGCTTTCACTTTGCCATGCTGCCACAGGATCATCCATAGATGCATCACTTGTGCCAACACTCTCATCTTCCTGTTATTAAAAACAAAAGGTTTCACTTTTGGGTCATGTTTAAAAAGTATCATTTTTGTTTGCAAGCAAGTTATATGCTTCCTTAGTGAGAACAAGTTATATTTAATGTGGTATATTTTAAGTTCTTCCCTTGCCAGTATCAATGATTAATACCAATACTCAATCTCTTTCAACAGCGGTCTACAGATGTAGATGAAATCAAAGTACTGAATATGACCTAGAATAAATGTGCTGTATGAAATCCCAAAATAGCAAGTGGTTTAACACAACCCAGTTAAATTTACTTGAAAACGTTTCAGACTTCCAAAAATACCCGACCTGTTTTAAGCTAGTTTTGAATACTGTACTGGCATTGAGGTAAATGATCCTTCTCTCTCCAAGATCAACATACTACAGTAACACCACAAATCCAAAAGACTCAGCGATTCTTCCTATGTGGAGAAACTTGGAGCCTTAATGGTAACAGTGCTCTCAGCACATCTGTTGTCAAACTGTGCTATTCATGAACAGGGAAACTATTGAAAGAACTGTTTGATGTATCAGACCTCTGAGGAGCTGTCTGATTCGTCCCGTACACGTGCATTTTGACTTGCTCCTTGCTGATTGTGTTCTATCGTGGAGCGTGTTTGGTAGGCATGCTGGCGTTTGCGTTGGTTTCTTCTCAAAGACCTTCCACTTCCTGGTTGGTAATCATTCTTTTATCACAGGACAAGAGGGACAAAAAGAAAAAGATTAGCAATTTAATAATGAATTACATAGTTAAAGGATGCCTCTTTAAAGTGACCGTACGTTGTATCCCATTTACAAATGACAACTAGAATTGGAAATGAAAAGGTATCTTTTACACACTTGTGGTTCATTTCAGTGCACATGTAGGTGTGTTTTGTGGTTCAATATCAATTCTACTTTTTAAAGTAGCAGTCCTTAGAAAAGTAGTTAAAGAGAAATATGATTTTTTTCTAAAAAATATCTGCAGTCTCTGGATAATATACAAGCTAGTCACTTAAAAAAATGTGGCACCTCTAATATTTCTCCTAGTTTCCACAAGTCAAACTGAACAACCACTGTGGTTCTGCTATTTTACTTTCCTGGTATCTTCCCACTACTGAAGGTTTAAGGATAGAGATTTACCACTGCATATTTACCATTTGCATATTAGAGTATAAAGACAGACAAATTACAGTTACAGAAGGAAGACAGAGAGCCAGAGAAACAATCAGTACTCCTGATTTTCTAAATCATTTAATAAAATTGGGTTTGGGTTTTTTGTTTGTCTTTTTTTTGCTCAGTGCTCAGAACTACTTCACACCCAGGTTGTCTCCTCTAGTGAATTAACTCACCCGTTGTAAGGTGTGGGATGGCTTTCTCTTCTTTTCAACAGTATATAAATTAATTTCGATTTCACCTTTGGCAGCTCGACATTCTTCCTGGACCCTAATTATACATAGGAAACATCCATTTTATTCAATAAATCATCACATGACTTGACAGTCTCATTAATATACACATTAAAATGTTTCTGGTTCCCTTGCTATAAGAAATCTGTGAACAAGTCCTCCTAGCAGTATCCACACAAACTTCACTCCTGGAATCACAAGTTAAGGAAGCAAACCTGTTAGTTGAGCATGCGTAATTATTTTCAAGTAAAGTGAAATGTATTAAAATTTTATGTTTGTTTTATTTTTTAAATAAATCTTCAGGAAAACCTGGTATTTGAACTGCAGAAGAAAGATTCAACTGTAAAGAGAAGGAATTACTATTCTCAACTCTCCAGCAGAGGCAACCACTCTAATCCTAATATCTGGATTTAAAAACAAATCAACCAACCAACCCCCAAAAGCCAACACATTTCTGAAAAATCATTTTTTAGAACTTGTAACAGGTGTACGGAAGAATCATTAAACATTATACAATTTGATCTTTTTTCCCCTGTCTCACTTAGCATCTTACTTGCTGATGCCCGGAGGAAGCTCATTCACCACTACTCTCCTGCTCCACGCCATGAGATCTCTCTCTGTTGCCATTTGACTTCGGGGAGCATTGTGATGCATTTGCCGGACCCCTTCAATCTGACCGCTTCTCCGGAGACCAACATTTGGTGGAGATGTAACATCCAAACCTGGACTTCGAAGAGCTAAAGAAGAAAAAGATTTTTCTTCAATTCTATAAACTGTCAAAAAAATCTAGAATTTAAAGCTTAAGGACTGCACAGAGATTCTTTTTTGGCAACAAACAACACTTATTCGATGTTAAATGGCTTTTTCTTTTGCTTCAGATGAACATTTTTGTGTATTGGCCTTGGACTACTGGAGATACGTATGCTACTGTAACGTCACTGTGGCTTGCTATATCTTAGAGATATCCAAGGCAAGCAAAGAATATAATCTATGAGAAAAGTTTTAAAGGCACTTAAGTGACCTTCAAAATAAAGTCTTGTCAACTGTTTAAAGGCCCTGAAATCATGAATCTTGAATTCTATGGTACAAGAAGAGATGAGGTTGACATTTAAAATAATAGACTGCTGCAAGGTTTAAGGTTTCTGTTGTACCTCCATTTGTTCTGTATTTGTAATGCTTATCTACTGTGCTACAGGCACCGCTCCTGCTCTGGGCTTTTCGTCAGGCAGCACAATGCAGTGCTACATACTCAGGAGAAAACAGACACTTTAGGTAGTGAGACAAAAAGGCTGACAATATTAGAATCATTGCCATCATTGCCTTAATTTATCTCATCATTTGGGAATACATCGACACAATTTCCACATGCTTAAATACGGTTAACCACACGAATACATTGCATTCATCGTTGTGCAAACCTATATAAAAATATTCTGCTATTTAAGTATCAGGTACTTTATACATACTCTAATTAACTTACACAAATGGACAGTTCATGTAGCAAAGTCACTGATCGATGCAAGTCCTATAAAGGTAACTACTTTAATTTCTATACCCCTCATATCTGGAAATTCCCTTTCATACAGCTACAGGGACGTAAAAATAAAATTGAGAACTCGGATTGCACAACACATCAACCTATCATAAGAAGCAGAAGAGACTTCTTGTGAATTGAAGCTGGCTTCTAGGCCACCTTCTTGACAATACCAATTTAGATCAAAGCAAAGGCGTATTTTCAGCATTTTTCACTAATATTTTTCCTTTTCCTTCTTGAATTGAAAGACAAGCAACTCCAAATCAAGCAATCCTAATGAGCTTTGCCAGGAAATCTAATTCAAACATGTGTAATCAGTCATTTAACCTAGAACTAATTTATTAGCAGATGTAAATATTTTAAAAGCTCAGGATGACTTGCAGCACAAGTCGACAGCATCTGCTCTCTTACATCAACTGCACTCAGTCAGCTGCCTCACAGTCAGCTGTTCACATCTGATTGAGCTTGTTTTAAATTTTTAATCACTTTGTATATTAAAAATAAAATTACAGTAGCAGAACACTTACCAGGAGAATAATCTCAAGCTTTCTAAGGAAACACTAAGACAGAGCAGACATGTTTATTTTATAAACACTGATGCTCAGCCTTAGCATTTATGCTGCAACAGGAAGCCATTAGTCTGTCACAACATTGTATTCCGTTGACATTCTCTAATTATATGCTGTTATCTTGACATTATGCAGTTACAAAGGATCATCTCTGCAGTGACTGACACCAAGACAATACAGTGAACTTTATTTTTTAGGAAAGGTTTATAACAGGAATAATTACAGTCTAATAGTTCTAGGTAATCAGATATAGCCCAGTTAGACCATTGTGTGCCCTCAGCTGAACCTTAAACTTTTAATTCCTCTGCTAGCATCAGTAGAACATCCAACTCCTCCACACAGGGTAACAATGTGTATAAGAACAAGAGAGAAAAGCATCCTCAGAGACATGGTCTCAGAACTTACATTAACACATGTTGATTAGTACGTTACTGTGCTTTAGGCAAAGAAATGACGGAAGTAATGAAGGGACGCTTACCTCCATTAACAGAGTGAGATCTATTAGGTGGAGGGTTTGGAAGAGTTTCTCCTTCATTAATTAGTCTCAGATCTTGCTCCCTCTGTAGCTCTCTGATCATTCCATCAAGGATACTCTCATCCTGGTCATTAGTTTGCTGCCCGATGACTTGTTCAACTACTTCACCATCACCTTGACAAGAACAAAGCCACAGCTGCTTATAAAATGATTAATTTCTGGTTTACTAAACACCATAGAAACAATCATATTTAAAGTTGTGCACAATTATTTTTCGGCTCCACAAAACATCTGATTGCCAGCTGGCCTTCTGCTCTCATGTAATAAATGGAGGCAAAGTTTAAAAGAGATAAAAACCTAAAATTACAGAGCACATGCAAAATATAAACACAAACCCTTAGAAACAGCAGAAAGAAATTATGCGTCAGTAAGTAATAATGGAAGACCTGTTCTGGAGATCAGCATTTTGCAAAAGTTTGATCTTCAAGAAAAAAACAACTGCTTATTAAAAAAAAAAAAAGCTCTTTTTTCGACATCTTTCTTACCTTCTTGCATCCTTACTCACATACACAGTTACATCGAGGTTAACGGGACAATTCTTTAAGCATGCTGCCATATACCTGGTAGAAGTTCACAGATTTTTGGAATACCGCAGTCTCCTCATCTTGCCTCCAGTCAATTTGATTCCATACACTTCCTTTACGCCTTCCATAGCCACCCTATCTCCTCTTCTATCTCTATACTGAATTTAAACCACTAGATCCAGAAGATAACTGAAACAAACAAATCCTTATAGTACCATCCTAGTGAGTTGGTGCTCAATACTGTGCAATACATGTATTATGCATGAGTTTTAGACAGCATACCATTAGCTACATATCCCAGCTGAGGAATAAGTTGTTCATCCTTGCAATTTTCCCTCCCTGGTACCAGCCGTTGGAATCTCGTGGGATGAGGATTTCCATCAACATCCACCAAGAATGGAGGAGGCATAAGATGTGGAGCCTGTTGAGTCTGTTCATCCAACACATAGTTATTTGCATCACGGATCAATGGTCGGTAATCCGTATGGAAGAACATCTGATCTGGAATCTGCAAGAAAAGCAATGTAGTAAATAAATCAATGGCCATTTGCAGCTGTCTTGCTGCTTTGGAATGGTTCCCATACCCATAAACCACAACTCCTACACTTCGGATCAACAGAAGAAATGTTATGACAGAGAACAGATTCCTACCACAAATGTGTTCTATTACCAAGGCCCGACGCAAAACCTCAACAGTAAAGTATGCCAACAGAGGTGAACAGATAAAAGTTAATGCTTTGTTCCCCTATCTAGAGATTCTCTTGTCTAAATCTTTTTGATTTAGGTAAACAGCAACTGCTTCATGATCTAATTACTATTTTGTCTCGGGCAGGGAGAGGAAATAAACTGTAACACAAATACTTCTAAGACAAAATCAGGTCAGACACAGAAGAGTTTAAAATTCATTTAACCCACCTTTTCATAATATTTATTGCATCCAAAACCAAATAGTAGCAGATGCCCATGAGAGTCTGTGCAGGCAAAATGCTGTCCATCTGGTGAGAACTTGCAATCAAAAACAGCTCCATGGCCTTGGCCCTCAATCTGTATACAAGCACAGAGCACTCCTTTCACAATCATGCATTCTCTATAAAAGCATTTTTACAAAAATTTCACCTGTGCCCCAACAAATATTTAATCCTAATTCTGTGTAATTTCTCATCTCGCTCAAGACTGATTTACACTTAAATTTTTTCCACTTAATTATTAGAGCTTCACTGAACAATAAAGTAAAATCTTACATTTTCTCTTTGTCCTGAAATTTCCGTATAACTTTTAATGCATGTTCTGAAACAACTACCTAGAAGTCCACATTTTATGTTAATGGCAGACGTAGGGCAAGGCCACACCAAAGACCTCAGACATGTATTGGCTCTGTACAAGCAGGTTTCACAGCCCCAAGTGCCAGGAGGCTAGCTCAGGTCCTGAAGCAGTACAGCTGCATTTGCTTGGCACTGGAACCAAACCAACAAACCTGGCACTGGGTGCAGTAAGATAAATGCAGCACAGAGCCAACCAGACTGTTTTCCAGACCATAGTGTTGTGCTACCACACACAGGCTTACTGGTTTTCATCGCTCTACCTTGGGAGTCACTGTAATCTTTTGCATGGTATAACCATGCCCATACACATGAATAATATTCGGATGTAATAGATCTCGTGAAAGACTTGCTGCTACACTTACAATATGCAAAAACATACTTTCATATTGCTTACTGAAGAGTACAGTTTTCTTTTTAATATGTAGCAGTTTTCCCCTAATCCTGTCGTAACATTGGTCGCAATAAGTATATAATGATATCTGTTTTTGCCTCAACGTGTTTTACACAAATGTTTTAAAAAAACAAAACAAAACACAACAAAAACACCCTTCCTTGATCCTTCTTACCATGTTAAAGTAATTGCGAATTTTTGTTCCTTTGTCTATATCCCAAACAAAAATATTTCCATCATGACCCGCTGAAAGTACAATCCTTTGGTCAAATGGATGGGCCTCCAGAACAAAAACTTCATCATCATGACCCTGTAGGGTGAAAAAGAAAGTAATGTATCTCCATGTAATATCTCCAAACATGCTAGTATTTAGTATGAGGAACATCTCAGTTCAGGGAGTCATCCATGACAGCTGAATTTACTGGAGCTTAGACTAGAACTGTACCTAGTCAACATTTCTGTCAGAGGCTTGGCATTATCACTGCCCACTTTGTAAGTGCCTCAGCCTGCAGCTCAGCACAGCTGAGACGGAGAGGGATGGGGAGGAAGGAGAAATCAGCAGCGAGGACAGCAGCAACCCTCTAATCTGGGCACAAATGATGGCCTTCAAAGGGCTCCTTTGTCAGCCAGCAATCACCAGGGTCTAGCAGCGTTTTGGTCGTCATCTCCTTTTCCCGTGATACATACTCCTCCCAGTAAGACAGGTGGCATACTTAACAAAAAACATTCCTCGTCAGGAATGGTGATGCAGTTTAGCCTCAAATCAACTTCAGAGTCGAACTATAACCACTTGGGATTACCCACTTGAATTTTACTCACAGATAAGCTATGAAGAAGCTGCCCTGTGGTCGAGTTCCACACTTTGAGAAGGAAATTGTTGACTGCAGTGATGACAGTGGCATCGTATCTATCCCAAGCCACCATAGTAACCTTCAGTTTAGTCACCTTGTCCTCCCCAGATGCTACATTGTGTCTAAGGAAGTCAATAATTAAAGAAGAAATACACCAGTAACTACATACGAAAACACTTAACAGTGCTAATTCAGTATGAAATTAGGGAGAGCACGGCTGCCACCACTGTGACTACTGGCTAATGCAGGAGAATGAAGGATGGCTTCTGCAGTGCTAAAAACCGGATACAGAAAACATTCAATACCCCTAAGATTTAGAGAGTTTTATTTCCTTAAAAAGGACAAGTTTGTCTTCTGTTCTTCTTAAGCAATCATCCTCACCTACCCCAATTTCTTCTTTCAAGCTACTCAGTTCTATTAAGTTTTTTCCTACAAGGCACTTTTCTTATCAGTAATCAATATGAGCAAACTCTATAATGAGCAAGAACTTGCTAAATAAATCCAAATCATATTTGGACAGCTAACTTATTAAAAATGTAACAATATGAAATATAAAGAATTCTGCAAAGCAAAACGACTAATGGATTTCTCCATTTCTGCTTTTTGTTATTGTGCATATTCAATCACAAGGTTGCTTACAGAACTCATGTAAGGATCTCAAAAAGAAAAACTCGAAACCCTAACTGAACCTGAGAACCAAATCACCTCTTAATTGAAAACTTAAGGAAAAGTACAATGTTAAGAAACATGCTGGATGTATATACATCAGCATATCAGCACATGATCAAGGAGGTTCTACTAACACCTCTTGCCGTGAGATGAACTCTGTTTCACGTTCCTACTTTGTATGTAAAATACTAAATATTCCCATTAGAATAGGGAACTACCAATGTATTAATATTTTCTTTTGGGGGTGAATTAACTGTGCAACTTAACAGATAGAACCATGGCATTTTCAATACATTAAAAAAATGCATGGAAATTAACTCAAAATGCAAGTAAATAAATAGTTTTCAATATGATGGAAGATTTTGTTTTGTGGGTAAACGTGGTTATGAAGTGTGTTCTGTTTCAGTTTGTTTTACCCTGTCATTTTAGTTGCCATATCCAGGACCACACTCTTCCAATCTTGCTGCTGATAGTGCCATATTCTTGCTGTTCCATCTCTGCTTCCACTGACAAACCTTAAGCTATGGGGAAAAAAAAAAAAAAAAAAAAAGAGAAAAAAAAAGTAATGAAATTCTGAATAAGGAGAAGTCACTTCTGCTTTTGGTTTAATACCCACATGCCCATCTTAGGATCTTATTTTCTCGCTATTCAGTAGCTTTGGTATGGAGTTTTCCATCCTCAGAAACAGCACGGGCATGGTAAATCCTGTGGCAAGAATATTCAGGAGTTTGGCAGAGGACTGCCATTCACCCTAGGAAAGGTCGCTACAAGCACTTACTTTTATGTTATTCTGCAACAAACATGCACACATGCACATGTCCACAAATATATATATACTTGGAAGTGTATACTTGTGTATATATACTTGTCTTACTCTATATACACCCACACATAGGCGTGTTTAACAACTCATAAAATATCCATGAACTACTGCCACAGGAAACAGGCGACTACAAAACGCTGGCAAGCCAAGAGCACACCCATTCACATTCACACCAGCACAGAAACTAGAATGTATTTAATCTTTTTTCAACATTTATTCTTTATATTGTTTGTGCATCTCTCGTCTAGAGAATGCAATTAAAAGAAGTGAGGTTACCATTTTTGTATCAGATATTGTACGATACAAAAGAGTTTATATCCCACGACATTAATTACATTTGGCTACAGCTAGCAGATGGCCTTGGAATGACTTCAATGTCATAATTCATACAAGCTGCACACTCTCTTTTTAATGGCATCAGCAAATCCCTTGAGCAGTTCATAGTGGCAGCAAAGTAAAAGAAACCGCACGTCAGGAGTCTAGCATAAATTATAATACATTAACTTAGGGAGAGGGTGAAGACAGAGAAGGGAAATACCCAAACTGAACATAAGTAGGTAGCCCTGCCGGTGAAGCTGAGCACAAGTATTTTCATTTTTAAACTTCTTGTTTAAAAAATTCAAGCATTCAGCAAATGAATTTAACCACATCATAATGCTTTGATTATCAATGTCACAGAAACCATTTTTGTTGAGAAATTTGAAAAAAGCTCTTCAAGTAATACATTTTCACAGGATGGCCAACACCTTTAAAAGTATACTCCATTTATATAGAAAATTACATGTGAAAGGCAAGCCTATTCAATTTTATTTTAATAAGTGATTGTTTCACCTTTTCAGTTTCCCTGGTTGAATTGTTTCATCATGATGAATAAGTGTTTAAAAATGCTTGTAACAAGTTTTTTGGAGGTTTTCTTTGTTTGTTTGGTTTGGGTTTTTTTACTGCTTTATGTCAAAATAAAAAGGAAGCTATCACTTTTCCATTGAAAGCATCACTACAGCATATAATTTTCAGTGACTACGTGACCTAATACCCCCACTGAGACCTGTGCTCTCCCATTGCTTGGAAGGAATCGTTAGTACCATTATACCAGTACATTCCCACATAATTTTACATGACAAAGATCTCCAAGCACAGGTGCAGTTCCACTGGCAAAGCTACAGTTTTGCTTGGAAGGCTCCTGCCTGCACACACCCCTTAAACTTCCTGCCAAGCAAAATAAGGAATATAAGCAAAAGAAGGCTCCTGCCTGCACACACCCCTTAAACCTCCTGCCAAGCAAAATAAGGAATATGAGCAAAACCTGGCATAAAACCATTTACATTAAGATGTTGATCATTAATCAAAGCCTGTCATACCACTCTCCAACACAGCTGTGGTGCAGAAGTTTGACACACAAACATGCCTATAGGCACCTTTATACATTTTACCATGAGCATCCTGGCTCTAATTCTTACATAAGAGACAACATCCTGACTTAGCACAGTTGTAAAAACTGAAAGCTCTGCAGGTTAGAATGGTTCGCTTCATAAATTTTAAGACCACAGGATTACCAGTTGTAAAAACTGAAAGCTCTGCAGGTTGGAATGGTTTGCTTCATAAATTTTAAGACCACAGGATTATCATTTATCATTTATCATTATCATTATCATTATGTTATCATTTAAACTAATAAACTGGAAATTCATATATTTGCCTAGAAATGCACATATTTGCCAGGTATGTAATCAGAGATAAGTGAATTGTTATGAATAATAAAGGAGACCAATTAAATGATCATCAAGACCCAAAGGTATTAAGACTGTGCCTCTGTAATTTGTTCTGGACAGGTGGCAGCAACCAAGGACTGCAAGTTCAGAGAGTTATGTGATGTGCGTGCAGAGTAACTGTCCCATATACTCAGTCAAAACTGGTCAAAGTAAGTACTGTAGTTCATCATCGGACAGATAAATGAACACAGACTCACACAGTCTTCACTCCAGAAAATGTTACAATTAGCCCATTTAGTATGGCACTCAGCGGTGGTAAGCTGTCCAGATGTACTGGTGACTCAGTGAAGACTAAAGATAATGGGTTGCAAGGAGACACCACAAAAATATTCTAGGACACTACTGAAGTATTACCTAAAACATCCAAATCCTCGTGAAAAGCCAAACTACTGTAATGAGAAGAGCACGTGTAAAGGAAAGTTTTCTGACAAATTAAGCAGGGGAATTTTATCTGTCCTGGTTTTGGCTACAACAGGACCAATTCTCCTTTCAGGAGATTTCTCCTTCAGTTAAGTTTCTTCTAAGTGACTGTACTTGCTGAAGGGGACTACGTGTTTTTCAGACAGTGCGTGCTTTTAGAATTGATAACACTTGACGTTTCTAGTTGTTACTAAAGTCACAGTAGGATTGGTATGCAGAAAGGCACATGTTTGTACTTATTCCTGTGGGAACCAAGGTCACTGTTGGCTCTCTTATGGCCCACAAGTGAAAAAGCGTTAAAGGGTCACACCTGCGGGAAGGAGTGGATGGGACAGGTGACCAAGAACTGATCAGCGAAATATTCCACCCCATACACGTCACACTCAGCATAAAGCTAAGGCATCACGGGGGTTGACTCTTTTTCTTTCACGGCTGGCATTGTTGTAGGACTCTCCCAATTCTCCTGCCTCCGATCCGGTGATTCCTAAATCTAGGTGCCATCGGCAGCTCAGTCGAGACTGGGGCATCCTGGTGCCTGCCCTGTGGCATCAGCAGCGTGAGCCATCGCAGCACGCGATCCCGTGATCATCACTGGGAAGCTCA